GTTGACACCAACTCTTTATGACCATGTCGATAGTGTTTCTCAACCTGGACCTTTCTCTCTCCCTACAGTGCAACATCACCACAATAATCAAGTCCATCCATTTTGCTGCTTGTCATCCTCTTCTCTTTTCATCCTCTTCTCTCAGCATTATTGACTTCTCAACAAAGCTAAGTCTTCGCAAAATGTGTTCAAAATATGATATTTTGAGCCTGGTCACCTGTGTCTCAAGTAAGAACTCTGAATTGATTTGTTGTATGATCAATTTGTTTATTGTCTTGGATATCCACGATATGCTCTGGAGTTTTCTCTGGCACCAAAGTTCAAAAGCATCAATCTACTTCCTATCTTTGCTTCTTCAAAGTCCAACTTTTGCATCCATAAAGTATCACTTTGAAAAACACTGTCTGCGTGATCGGGATCTCTATCTGAATAGACATATCCTGGCATTCGAGCATCAATTTGAAGGCCTTCCTGTCATACCTTCAAATATTGCTGGGAGGGGGGGAGGCAAACAACCATTTTTAGCCTAGGGGCTACATTTTAAGTATTTGACTACTAACAATAAAGGTGGTAAATGAATGATATTCCTTTCTTGTTTTGGACAGAGGTCTTTCTTTCTTTCTTTCTTTCTTTCTTTCTTTCTTTCTTTTTTGAGACGAATGGACCAACAATTAGGAAAAAGTTGTGGAACTTTGTTTTTGTACATGAAGCGAATTGAAGCAATTGAAGCGAAATTACTATATGCGCAACGATGGAAAGATTTGACACTATCCTCAATGGAGTAATGGTTAGAGATGAAGGGGTTTGATGAGATGGTTAAACTGAGTTCTTTGATCAGAGAAAAGACAATACCTACCCTATTTTTCGGAGTATAAAACGCTCCAGACTATAAGATGCACCTACCTTTTTTGGTGAGGAAAACAAGAAAAAGAAATCTGCCTCTGCTTCCCAGCAATTTTGCCTTGTTGCAGCAAACAGCAAACAGCCTGCTTTACTTTCATTTTTGTTTTCAGCATAGCTTGATTAGCACAAGAAAAAAAATCTGCTCCCAGCAATTTACCTCCTTGCAGCAAGCAGCAGAGGCCGGAGCAGCATTAGGCAATGGCAATCCCTGCAGCCTGAAACAGCTGAGAGTCAGGAGGCCGATCCAAAGGACAATCAACTTGTGCTAATTAAGCTGTGCTGAAGCTGAAACGAGCTGCTTCTTCTTGCTGCTTGCTGCAAGGAGGTAAATTGCTGGGAGGCAGAGGCCATAGGGTGAGGGCCAGTAGGTGGGCGGGGCTACATTCAGTGTATAAGACGCACCCAAATTTTCACCCCCTTTTAGGAGGGAAAAAGGTGCATCTTATACTCCGAAAAAATATGCTATGTTTATAATTGACTGGAAACTCCTTATGGACTTTTTGAATAAAATAGGGGAGGGGAACCTTATATATGTATTGGATGATTAGATAAGATAGATCATAGAAAGAAGAGAGTTAAATTATAATTATAGGCTAAAGGTAAATTTATAATTGTACCTATAAGTACTGAAAAAAATCAAAAGCTACTTCTTTGGGGGGGGGGTTCTTTTACTTTCTTGCACTTTTTCACACTTACAACTGTTGCAGCAGCCCATGGTCATGATCAAAATTCAGACACTTGGCAACTGACTCATATTTATGACAGTTGCAGTTTCCCAGGATCATGTGATTTCCCTTTTGCAACCTTCTGACAAAGCAAAATCAATGGGGAAGCCAAATTCACTTAACAACGGTGTTAGTAATCTAACAACTAGAGTAATTCATTTAACAACTGTAGCAAGAAGGTCATAAAATGGGACAAAATTCAGTTAACAAATGTTTCAGTTAGCAACAGAAATTTTGTGGCCACAAATTGAGGACTATCTATCTATCTATCTATCTATCTATCTATCTATCTATCTATACATACATACATACATACATACATACATACATACATACATACATACATGTATACCTGTGTGTATCTTCCTATCACTTCTTCTAGTGAATAAGATGACACAGTGCACAATGGTGTTTTGTTACAGGTCTTATTTAATTAGTGCTACAATATATACCCACCCCTTGGAACATGATTTTGATTAAAGAGTTGTAGCATTGCACTGTAAATGTCAGATGGGAGATGAGACAAAGATGCAATGACATTGTATTAATGGGGAATGTGTTATTTCAGCCTCAATGCTCAAGAAATGTTGAATTAGTGTTGTTTGGGTTTTGCCCTTTTCTCCATTTTTTGTACCATAATTACTGAAAGCACAATCGCAAACCATTTCAACAGAGAGAACAGTGCAGAAGGAGCTACTGCACAACAACTGCACAAAAACATTCTGGAAAGGAAAAGGAAAAAGACCTGTGTGGATAGACCGAGTAGGGGGCAAGTCACCAAAGAAAGAGAGGGAAAAATAGAAGAAGGGGAAAGAACAATCTCCTTATCACTGCTGTTTCTTCAATAGATGATGCAGTATGTCCCAAAGGTGCTTTTTTTCAAGAGGCAACTGGACTTTCTGGTTTTTCTTTGAAGACGTTTCACTTCTCATCCAAGAAGCTTCTTCAGCTCTGACTGGATGGTGGGGAATGGAAGGGTTTATACCAGCGGTGGGTTCCTCCCGGTTCGGTCCGGTTCGGCCAAGCTGGTAGCGGTGATGATATAACGTCACCAAACCGGTTCTCCCCCCCCGCCCTCCCACCCACCCACCCACCCACGTTATTCTTGCCTTTTATTTGGTCCCACCCCCAATCTATTGCTGCCTCCTGAGTCCCAGCTGATGACTAGAGGAAAAAAAATTGTTTAAACTCTTGCGGCGGGGCTTCAAAGGGCCGTCCTACAGCTGATCAGTGTTAAAAGCAAACAAATGAGTCAGGTCGTAAGTGTGAGGACTGGTCGTAAGTTCGAGGACCTTCCAGAAATGACTCTGACCAGCTAGCCACGCCCACCTAGTCACATGACCTCCAAGCTACACCCACAAAATAAGCCACGCCCACAGAACTGGTAGTAAAAAAAATTAGAACCCACCCCTGGTTTATACGCCTTGCAGACAGCTGGTCGTTTGCAATTTTTTAGGAAGTCATTAAGGTCACCTGGAAATTTATCTGTGTCATCAGGGTTACCTGAGTGGTGCAAATGGGTGTGGAGCCTTCTTTGAACTGTTGAAAGGACTGTGTTGTAGATTGGAGATAGATGCTGTCGTATCCTAGCTCCAATCTACAACACAGTCCTTTCAACAGTTCCAAGAAGGTTCCACGCCCATTAGTAGACATTTGGTGATACAGTGCAGTATTTCAGGCCAACTCTGCCCACAGTCTGAGCTTGATCCTGACATGGTTGACTCAGCCTTCCATCCTTCCAAGGTCTGTAAAATGAGGGCCCAGATTGTTAGGGACATTGTAACTCACCCAGAGAGTCCTGTAAAGTACTATAGTCGTGATGGCGAACCTATGCACGCGTGTCAGAGGTGGCACTCAGCACCCTCTCTGATGGCATGCGAGCTGTCGCCCCAGCTCTGCTGCCATGCGCGCGTGTGCCTCCCACTAGCCAGCTGGTCTTCGGGTCTCTGCAATGCATATGCGGGGCAGTGGTGGGTTCCTCCCGGTTCGGTCCAGTTTGTCCAAGCTGGTAGCGGTGACGATATGACGTCACCGAACCAGTTCTCCCCCCCCGCCCTCCCACCCCCCACCCACCCATGTTATTCTTACCTTTTATTTGGTCCCACCCCCAATCTATTGCTGCCTCCTGAGTCTCAGCTGATGACTAGAGGGAAAAAAACTGTTTAAACTCTTGCTGTGGGGCTTCAAAGGGCCGTCCTACAGCTGATCAGTGTTAAAAGCAAACAAATGAGTCAGGTCGTAAGTGCGAGGACTGGTCGTAAGTGCAAGGACCTTCCAGAAATGACTCTGACCAGCTAGCCACGCCCACCTAGTCCCATGACCTCCAAGCCACACCCACAAAATAAGCCACAGCCACAGAACCGGTAGTAAAAAAATTTAGAACCCACCCCTGATGCGGGGGGGGCGGTCACACATGCATTCTTAGGGGGCAGAGAGCATGCAGGCTGCCTGTGCATGTGTGGGGGCAGAGTGTATGCAGGGGGGCACATGTATGCACGGGGGGTGGGGTGCATGCATGAGGGCCGCATGCGCATTGCATTTTGGGGGTTCAGTGGGTGCTTTGGGCACTCGGTCCGGAAAAGGTTAGCCATCACTGTACTATAGAGTGGTATATAAATGCTTACTTGCTTGATAGTTAGCAACACTGGGCAAAGATGGATTTTTTTCCTCAAAATAAGAGCCTTGATAGTACAGGGGTTTAGTGCACCCTGTAATTAACACAGCTGCCTGCAATTTCTGCTGGTTCGAATCTCTCCAAGGCTCAAGGTTGACTCAGCCTTCCATCCTTTCTAAGGTAGGTGAAATGAGGACCCAGTTTGTGGGGGCAATAAGCTGACTTTGTATAAAACATACAAAAGAATGAAGGCTATTGCTTAACGCAATGTAAGCCGCCCTGAGTCTCCGGAGAAGGGCGGCATATAAATCAAATTTAAAAAAAAAAATTTCTCCATATGAAGGGGAAATTCTTTCACAATCCTCAGTGACAAGATTCATTCATTTACCAGCAGTGAAAAAAAAAATTGGAAGGAATTTGGGTCTCCCATTGAGACCCAAACTCCTTTGTTTGCCGGAAGCTGGCTGAGAAAGTTGCAAATGATGTTCACAGGAATGCTGTTATAAGTACGAGGACCAGTTGTAAGTCATTTTTTCCAGTCCCATTGTAACTTTGACTGGTCACTAAACAAATGGTCATAAGCTGAAAAGTTAAGGGCTCGCTTGGATTCTTGTGTCATTGTTTTAACATTTCTGCTAACAAATATTGCTGATTGGATTTTTAGGTGGCTAGTCCTGATTGTTTGGGAGAGAGGTCTGATATTTACCACTGTTACCCAGATTTTCCCTTTGTTCCGCTTCTCTATAGTTTTACAATCTGAATGAATTGGTTTTACTTGTAGTTTGGGTTTGGAGTTTTCTAAATTGGTTGTCTTGCCCTGGAAGGAAGCACAAGTAATGAAAGAAAATATTTAAAAAGTAACAAATAAACTAAAAGCATCAGATAACAGTGGGAGAACGACATGATTAATTGTCCAATATGTTTTATTTCTAGAGGGAAAAATGTCAGTCAGCTGCAGTACAAAGAGCAAAAAGTCCAGATTCAAAAAAGTCTCATTTCAAATACATCAAATGCCTTTTTGAGCTCAGCAGAATTCCAAGAAAATCAAAGGGGTGTTGAGGCCACCTTGTGCGAAAGAAAACAAGAGTGAGGGCATAAAAAGGAGCCTTTGCATAGAATGTACAATCTGTCCATCAGGTCCTTCACTGGGACAGGACAAGCTGAGACAAAGTTCTATAGAGAACTTAAAATATGTAGAAGAAGGACTAGCAGGAGCCTGAGTGGCATAGGAGGCTAATGCCTCCTACTAAGGCAGCATTTAACATCCAGCTGCCTGCAATTACTGTGAGTTCAATTCTCACCAGGCTCAAGGTTGACTCAGCCTTCCATCCTTTCTAAGGTGGGTAAAATGAGGACCCGGTTTGTGGGGGCAATAAGCTGACTTTGTATAAAATATACAAAAGTATGAAGGCTATTGCTTAATGCATTGTAAGCCGCCCTGAGTCTCCGGAGAAGGGCGGCATATAAAAATAAATAAATAAATAAATAAATAAATAAATAAATAAATAAATAAATAAATAAATAAATAAATAAATAGCTAGCAGAGCCAGGGAAAGGATAAAAAGAGGGATCGGTTTAGAGTCCTTATGTAGTCACAAGCGAACCCTTCTTGATTGCCATTGAACTAGGGGTGAAATCCAGCAGGTTCTGACAGGTTCTGGAGAACCGGTAGCGGAAATTTTGAATAGTTTGGAGAACTGGCAAATACCACCTCTGGCTGGCCCCAGAGTGGGGTTGGAATAGAGATTTTGCAATAAACTTCCCCCAGGAGTGGGGAGGGAATGGGGATTTTGCAGTATACTTCCCCTGGAGTGGGGTGGAAATGGAGATTTTGCAGTATCCTTCCCCTGCCATACCCACCAAGCCACACCCACCAAGCCACACCATGCCCACCAAGCCAAGCCCACAGAACCGGGAGTAAAAAAATTGAATTTCACCACTGCATTGAACTTTATCTAGCTCTCACTAGGTACTAACCATCAGTTGAGAAGATTCCTGCGCATAGGCTTTTAGCAATGAATCAGTTAAATTGAACCTTCCATGTGGATCTGGTTTTTCAATGCCCGACAGTAACTCAGAGCTGAAATGTTGGAATGTCCATGTTTACTAAGCTTGGTTTTCTTCCTAAAAAGTTTTTGTTATCAAGCTAGATATCATTGTTGCTTTGACACAAGAGAGTAGAGTTTACTTACCTTCTATGTATGGCAATTTCTCTTGATTAAAACTGTGGTGTATTGTTTCAGAGTGTATCAACCAATGTGCTTGATTGGCTGAATTGTTTTCTCTATTGTGTTGGATCTCCCTTATCTACATGTCAATTGCTTTATTGTTGTATGTAGCACTTGGTTAAACACAATGTCACATGACCATGAGTTGCAACTTTCTGGAAGCTGGCAATGAAGGTCACATATGATGATCACGTGATTGTAGGATGCTTTGACTGCCAAGCACCCGAATTGGAATCAATTTGGTGACTGTGGTGATACTATGATAGCTACAACTACAAGGACCTGTTGTAAATCTCTTTTTTTTTCAGCACTGTCATAACTTTGAACAGTTGGTGAACAAGTGGTTGGTAAACAAGTAAATATTGCAACTCATTTTTTTCTTCAATAACATGAGCAATACTGTACATATTTGCTCTTCCAAGTTTTAAGTCCAAAATTTAAATAGTTTTTTGTTCCTATTTGATAGCCCAGCATTTTCCTATAGGGCTTTTGTGCTTTCATGTATTTTTTTTATTCCTTATGAAAATATACTTAAGCTTGCACTGTATCATGCTTAGAAGACTTTTGAAATTTTTTACTTTCTGCAGTCTATTTTGCTCTAGGCTGTAGCTTTATGGAGCTTTTTCATGTTTTATGCCTTTATTGTGAAATGCTTTTTCAAATTCCCAATTGCAATATTCTCCCCTATTATCAGACATTAATTGCTTTCTTTTGCTGTGGAACTTGTTTTCACCTGAATATAGTAAAGTTCGCATTTATCAAATACTTTCCCCATATTGGTTAAGAAGAAAGTACAAATATATATTTAAGTGACCATGTATGAATATTAAAGATTAATTTTTCCCATTCTTCACTGTGGTTAGCATGGGATCACAAATGTCTATAAAAATAAGTCCCAATAGCTGGTTGATTAGTTTGCATTTAGGCCCAGCAGAAAACTATTCGTTTTCCTTTTGCTTTTAAAAAATGATCACAACTTGATTCCCTGTGTTTCTTGCAAGGACAAAAGCCAATTGCTAAGTCCTCATCTTTTATTTTGTAATAGCAGACTCATCGCTGTATTTGTCTACCTCTCATCTCATCTAATGAATATATATACAGGGACAGACAGGCAGACACAGACACAGAATCAGTGGTGAAATCCAAATTTGTTTACTACTGGTTCTGTGGGCGTGGCTTGGTGGGCGTGGCTTGGTGGGCATGGCAGGGGAAGGATACTGCAAAATCTCCATTCCCACCCCACTCCAGGGGAAGGATACTGCAAAATCTCCATTCCCACCCCACTCCAGGGGAAGGATACTGCAAAACTGATGGGGTTTTTTACGGGTTTTTAATTGTATCTGATTTAATTAGGCATTTTAACTTGCATTATGGATTGTGGTTTTATTGTTGTGAGCTGCCCTGAGTCCGTTGGAGATAGGGAGGCATATAAGCCTAATAAAATAAAATAAATAAAATCCCCATTCCCTCCCCATTCCTGGGGGAAGAATATTGCAAATTGTCTATTCCCACCCCACTCTGGGGCCAGCCAGAGATGGTATTTGCTGGTTCTCCGAACTGCTCAAAATTTCCGCTACCAGTTCTCCAGAACCTGTCAGTACCTGCTGGATTTCACCCCTGCACAAATTTATATACACACACATATACACATGCATATATACACATATACACACAGATAGATGATAGATACCATAGATAGATAGATAGATAGATAGATAGATAGATAGATAGATAGATAGATAGATAGATAGATAGATAGATAGATGGAGACAGATGTAGGTAGGTAGGTAGATGGTAAGTAATGATAGGTAGATGATAGGCAGATGATAGATAGCTAGATAGCTAGATAGCTAGATAGATAGATAGATAGATAGATAGATAGATAGATAGATAGATAGATGGATGGATGGAGACAGATGTAGGTAGGTAGGTAGATGGTAAGTAATGATAGGTAGATGATAGGCAGATGATAGATAGATAGATGATAGATAGATAGATAGATAGATAGATAGATAGATAGATAGATAGATGATAGAGTTGATGCATTGCTATCCAATAAAAAAAGTATTATTCTTTTTAAATTTCAAAATCTGTCCAATTTCAAATAAATATTTATTAGATAACATATACTGATTTTTACTTTGTTTTGTTTTTATGTCCTCAGCTTGTGTTTGCCATTCCTCTGCAGGCTTGACTTTTCTTTTAGGACGTTTGAACTAATTATCTCTCTCAGTTGTAAAACAATCTGCATTCTCTTTTAATATATCCTCTTTTATTACAGTAATGACAGATCACATTTCTCCCTTTTATCTTGTTTAGTGAATTCCCTTTGGTTTCATGGTTCAAAGCAGGCCAGTATGCTTCCAGACTGACAATTAAATTCTCAAGGGAATTTTCATCATGAAGTTTGATTAACTCTACTATGTTTAATTTTCTACACAACATACACAATAGTAATAATAATTCTTTGTTTAAATCATCAGAAAGGTGCACACCATTGTTAATGTCTCCTGAAAGGAGAAATATTCTAACACATGTTCCATTAAACCTCTATTACCTAATAAATTCAGATTTATGAGTATTCTGAACATTAAAAATTATTGTTCAACTCTGAGCATACATATGTCTGGATTAACTTGTTCCTGAAAGACAATTTTGAGTTAATTTGCAGTTTGTAGAATGCAACCTCAGAATTATTTCAGATTAAGTGGGGACCATCTGTGCCCCCAGTTTATGTGTTTATCTGGCACAGATAAACCCCCAAATGGCCTCAACAACTCTCAGAGACCTCATAACCAAACTTCAGAGTGCTAATGACCAGATGATTGCAAGGAATATAAATCCTTTCATTCCCCACCATTCAGTCAGAACTGAAGAAGCTTCTTCCTTGAATAGTGAAACGTCTTCAAGGAAAAAATCAAGGAAGTCCAGTTGCCTTTTGAAAAAGCACTTTTGAGGCAACCATGACCTGGATAACTGAGAATCTCCATAGGCAGACATTTTCTTTGGTGTCATATTGACCAGGTGTTGCAAATTGGCCTACCTGTATAACTCTTCAATATCTTCCTCTGTATCTGAATCCAAGCATGGACCACATCACTACAACACTGAAACATTTGCCTTGGACTCAAATGTAGGTCATCTTGTTATTTTTCAGGTGATGTTCAAGTGCTGACTTTAGCATTCCTCTGTTAATAATGATGATTTCTCCATTTATTCTATGATTCCTGTCCACAGTAATAGAGCTGATTATCCTTTCATGAGAAATGACCTATTCCAGTCCGTTTCAATTTGCTGATTCCCAGAATGTTGGCGTTGAATCTTGACATTTCTGCTCTGTTAATATCAAATTTCCCTTGGTTCATGGCTCTGACAATCTACTTACCAGCATTATATGTATGTGTAATTGTGTGTTTGTGTGTATGTGTATCTGCCTATCATGTCTATATTTATCTTTTTATCTGTCTGTCTCTCTATATCTATCTATCATCTATCTATCTATCTATCTATCTATCTATCTATCATCTATCTATCATAAAAAAAGGTGTGGGTATGTCAAGTGAGGGTTTTGTGATGGGTTAGCTGTGAGTCATCAGTGAGTCTTGTGATGGGTCTTGTGATGTGATAAGGAGATTACATCAGGTTAGGGTCATTGGGAGGTGAACTGCTGCCATGGGACATTTGCGTGGGTTGGTTGAGGGTCAGTGCTGTCTCTGGTTGGCTTTATTCATTTATTTATTTCATCAAGCATGTATTAGATAACAGATATAAGTATAGACATAATTATGAATACATGAGATGGATACATATAAAAGGAAACATTAGGACAGGAATGGTAGGCACGCTGGTGCACTTATGCACGCCCGTTAAAGACCTCTTAGGAATGGAGTGAGGTTGACAGTAGACAGTCTAAGGTTAAAGTTTTGGGGATTTGGGGAAGAAACCACAGAGTCAGATAGTGCATTCCAGACATTGACCACTCTGTTACTGAAGTCATATTTTCTGCAATCAAGTTTGGAGTGGTTTACCTTGAATTTGTATCTATTGTTTGCTTGTATGTTGTTGTGGTTGAAGCTGAAGTAGTCATTGATAGGTAGGACATTGTAGCAGATAATTTTATGTACTACGCTTAGGTCAGAACAAAGACGGCATAGTTCTAAGTTGTCTAAGCCCAAAATTTCAAGTCTGGTGGCATAAGGTATTCTGTTGCGAGCATAGGAATGGAGGACTCTTCTTATGAAAGATCTCTGGACTTGCTCAATTGTATTAATGTCCAATATGCAGTGCAGGTTCCAGACAGAAGAGCTGTATTTGAGAATTGGTCTAGCAAATGTTTTGTATGTTCTAGTTAGTAGTACAATATTACCAGAGAAGAAGCTACACAAAATTAGGTTAACAACTTTTAATGCCTTTCTGGCAATGCTGTTACAGTGAGCTCTGGCACTTAGATCATTTGAGATGAGTACTCCAAGGTCTTTGACAGAGTGAGGGTCATCTATGAGGTCGTATCCGCCCAGTTTGTATTTTGTGTTTTGATTTTTTTTGCCAATGTGTAAGTCAGAGCATTTGTTGGTTGAGATTTGGAGTTGCCAATTGTTTGACCATTCTAACAGATAGTCAAGGTCTTTTTGTAGGGTAGCAGTATTGTCGGCGGTGTTGAATAGTTTTACATCATCATCAAAGAGAAGGCTGTTGCTTATAATATGATCGCAAAGGTTGTTTATGTAAAGTATAAAGAGTGTGGGTTCTAAAACGCTTCCCTGGGGAACAGCCCTGTTAACAGGTGCAGGGTTTGATAGGGCGTTCCCTATTTGACTACTTGTTGCCTGTTTGATAGGAATGCAGCTATCCACTTATGCAGGGATCCAGAAATGCCATAAGATTTTAGTTTTAGAAGTAGTTTATCGTGTACTAATGAATCAATGGCTTTACAGAAGTCTATATAAATTGTGTCTATTGCTTTACCCTGGTTGAGTTGGGAAGTCCATGTGTTTTTGCAGTGTTAGAGTTGCAGATTGCAACTCTACAATTTTTTTTAAGCCAAACTGCTTGTTAGAGAGTAGATTGTTTGTCTCTAAGTAGAGGGTAATGAATTTGTTTATGATTTATTCCATGACTTTGCATGTGACGCAACATAATGAGATTGGTCTGTAATTTTCAACTAGGCTGGGGTTACCCTTTTTGAAGATAGAGATGATGTGATTGGACCGGCAAGGAGCTGGTTCTGAAAGATATTTCATAGATTATGCTAAGAAGTTCTGCTATGGTGCTTGAGAGCTTTTTTAAGAAGTAGGTACATAATCCATCAGGGCCAATAGATAGAGATGGTTTTAGGTTGCGTAATGCCTTTTCTATGGCATCTTCTGTGAAATCGAGATGTAGTAGATCGTTGTGATTAGTTGTGGTATGATTGGGAAATGTGGGGCATGATCTATTGCTGTTTATTAAATGTTTATTAAATTAAATGTGTCTGTTGATTGAATTGCTTGTGGAGTGCCAGGTTTTGATGAACTCATCAGCGTGGTAGAGTGGCCGATGATTTTTGTGTTGCTCCAATTGAACTGGTGCTGTTTGGTGTCGGGTGGGTAGAGATTAAGGATTTGGGATCATGGTGTTTGACTGCCAGCCATTCTTCATGGATTCTGTTTTTTAATTAACATAATGTAGAATTGGTTGCAATGGTTACAGTTGATTTTGATCCACCACAAGACCCTCACCTGACACACCCACACCTGAAGCCTTTATAAACAGAAGAACACTGACATCCCCTAAACTCCACTGAAGGTGTTACCTAGCCTGGTAACAAAACATTCGGAAGCTCAGAGAACTAACCTTCACTCTCATCCTATACCTGAGGTACAGATATTCACATGTATATATATGATATTCGGGTATATATCAGCATGAGAGTGTTCATATTTATGTGTGCAGTTTCCACTTACAATCTTACAAACTTTTTATCCATAGACATTTTCTCGTAGTTCTCCAGTAGATCAGTGATAATACATGTAGAAAAATGTATTATTCTACTGTTCAACCTGGAATTTCTTTCCCATTTTACAGTTTCCTGGTTAGAGTGCCTATATTGTTGGAAGTATGTGAATGAGGAGGGAGGGAGGGAGGGAGGGAGGGAGGGAGGGAGGGAGGGAGGGAGGAAGGAAGGAAGGAAGGAAGGAAGGAAGGAAGGAAGGAAGGAAGGAAAGAAAGAAAGAAGGGACATTCTACACCAGAATCATTGTGTGAGAGTTGGGCAGCTATATACATTTGGTTAATAAATAAATAAAATCTGCAGTACATGAATATGACCTAGGCACAAGTCTTAATATCTCTTAAGGCCAAATTAGCTGCAATCATAGCAAGAGATCAGACACAATCATTAATGGTAATTATATTGTTTATCTAAACAGATCAATCATCCCATGCTGAGTTTTGCCCCAGAGTAGAGCAGTCCAAATGAAATGATAGTAGCTATTGCCTCTGCCCCAGGTGCAATATTATTTGTCCCCACTGTTAGCTAGCTGATCCTGTCAAACTGTTTTAAATTTTCTCCCAAGGAAACGTAAGTGACTTATTTGAAAATAAGTGAAGTTAACTACAGAAACAATTTTATAAGTAACGGACAGGTTGTCATTTGACAGGGAAATTATTTGCATGCTTATTTCTTCACCTGCCTGCAGGAAATTCCCTGCTCCCTATGGCTACCTAGCAAGTAAGTTAAATATAAGGCTCTCCCATTGTTAATATTAAATAGATATTAATGATGCAATCTTGCTTGCAGCTATTTATGCATAAACCAACTGAAGTCTATGGGGCTTACTTCTGCATAACTGATATTAGGTTTGTTGAAACTACTTTGTTGAAACTGCAAAATAAATGTGTTCCATATTGGAGAAAGCCTTGCATATTATAAAACAATAAAATGATGGATACTCCTACTATTAATACTAATGATAACAAGGAGATTTGTTTGTGTATTTAGAGCAAAATAATTATTTTGCAGGAAGGGAAGTAGAGTTGTGCATCAAGTAATATATGAATAAAACAAAAGGATTCTTCATAGCTGGAAAATATGTATCTTTAATAACTATCAACCCAGGTTCCCAGGAGATTATAATATATTACTGCTTTCACCAATTCATATATTAATAACATTTTGCATTTAGCGAATACAAAATTGAGAATACAAAAGGTTGCTTTTTTTTTAATTATAGCTGTTTCAGCAGATAATCAAGTCATGTTTTGGGGATGAAATTTAAAAACTTTAGAGATGCATCAGAATAAATTAGCTATTGAAAACTCAAATGCATCATAAAGAAAAAGGAGAACATGGTATGGATTCTATCCTGAAAATAATACTGATTGATTGACTGATAAATTATGTGTCATTAAATTGGTGTCAACTCTTAGCAGCCACATAGATTTTCTGTTTATGCCAGGGGTATCAAAACTTGCGGCCCGCGGGCTGGATGCGTCACACGCTGGCCAGGCTCACCTCCAGTTTAGCAAAGTGGGGAAAGTCACAATATTTCATGTGACGACAACGTGACACCTCATGTTTGACATCCCTGGTCTATGCTATCCATACTGTGATCCTTTAGGTTTTCCAACAGTCCACTCACTGCCCCTTTAACCTTTAACCTCCACTCATTGCCATTTTAATCAAGTCCATCCTACTTGACAGTGGTTGTCCTCTTCTTCTCTTTTCTTCTATATTTGCCAGCATTCCTGTCTTTTGCAGAGAGCTAAGTGTTCAAATAATGTGTCCAAATAGGATAATTCAGCATAGGCATTTATGCTTTGAGTGGGAACTCTGGGATGAGAAAATAATAGGCCACATTAAATAGTGATTTATATATAATAGATAAATAATATGGCTTTGAACAGGTTTCAAAGATCCAGTTCAGTACCAGAAACAAAGATCTCGCCCAAAAGGATTCATCAGATTCCTATAGCAGAGGTGGGCTTCAGCAGGTTCTGACCAGTTCTGGAGAACCGGTTGCAGAAATTTTGAGTAGTTCGGAGAACTGGTAGTAAAAATTCTGACTGGCTCTGCCCCCGTCTATTCTCTCCCTCCCAAGTCCCAGCTGATCGGGAGGAAATGAGGATTTTGCAGTATCCTTCCACTGCAGTGGGGTGGGAATGGAGATTTTACAGTATCCTTTCCCTGCCACACCCACCATGCCACGCCCACCATGCCACGCCCATCAAGCCATGCCATGCCCACCATGCCACGCCCACAGAACCAGTAGTAAAAAAAATTGAAACCCACCACTGTCCTATAGCCTCAGTTGCAGAGATTGGATATCCTGGAATACAGAGTTATACAAATAGAGTTTAACATTGGATCTTTTGGCATGTTTTCCACTGCAACTAATGGTGGTTGACTCTTAACCTCTTCCATCTATTTCAGGCA